TACTCGCGCGAATAAGCGCCCGGGCGCTTAAAATATTTTTTGAACTTTTTTGAGGGGCGCTTATTCAAACGGGCGCTTATTCGAACGGGACGCTTATAAAAACAGAGTGAAAATTGAGGGGGCGCTTATGGAAATAGATGAAAATCGAGGGGTTCTTATGAGAACTTATTAAATCCAAGAGGCACATTTTGAATGAAAAACGATTAAATAAGGACATCAGGAAACCGCAAATTACGAATGGTGCTGTGGCGGAAAAGATAATCGTCCAGAGAGCATGGCTTGTCATGACAAGAATGTTGTGAGTACAGTATTATAAGTAGAATAGCAGATGACATTAGTGGTGGTGGTTAGCTTGTTCGCCTCATCTTCATCACGTCCTCATCAATCATCTATCGTCGTTATCACCATCCTCATAATCTTCATCCTCCTAATCCTTCATCATTTTCTTCATCATCATCCTCATCATCATATTCATCCTCATCCATCATCCTCGTCATCATCAATGGTATAGCCAGCTATTGGCACAGTTGGGACACACCATTTTTCCAATGGGTCCACATTTTAAAAATCATCATCAACCACATCATCATCATCCTTATTAATTATCATTATCAATCATCATCCTCATCATGAAGATGGTAATGAAGAGGATGAGGACGACAAGAATGAAGATGAGGATAAGGGGCAGAGGGGATGTTTCTCATCATTCGTCATCATTAACCTCATCAACATCATTATCATCAATCATCCTCATCATTATCACGATCACCCTCATCAACGACCATTATCATTCATTATCATCATCATCACCCTTGTCCATAATTTTCTATCATTCTCATCACCATCATCACAATCATTATCATCAACAACAACCATTATCATCAATCATAATCACTATCATCTTCTTTCTCACCATCATCGTCATCATCTTTCTTCTCATCATCATCAACATCCTCCTTATAATGGGGAATATAATGAGGATGGGGATGACAATCAGGAAGATGATGATGATAATAATAATAATGACATCAGTATATTACGAATAACAGTACAAACGCTAATATTAATGTGAATTATAAACTATAAATTTTTTAAAACGCATAAGAATAATGATATACTATATTAATAATATTATAGAGTAACAACATAATAGTATACTAATGATGATGAAGAAAAATGTAGTGTAGAAAGATTAAATTTAAATAGGTAAACATTTCCTTTAATTTTGATTGTCGTAGTCTTGGAATTTGGTGTTGACGTCATCATTCCAAATTTGCTTGGGAGGTGGGGAATTCCCGTCTTACAGGCCTAGATTCCCATCGTCCGATGCCACGACGAGGTCACCACACGACAAATAATGATTTGCTTATCCTTATAACATTTTGATTGCCAATCCCTAATATTTTGGCTTAAACGCAAAATTTTGGGCCATACAAAGCTAAAAAAAACCTCTCCCATAAGCCCAGGGAAGTTTATTCCGGGACTCTGACCGAGGGTCTAGTCGGCCCTGTGTTTGGACCCACCCTATCAGACCCCCTGGGGCCACCACTAAACGACTGTAATGGGTAAGTATTTAACTAAGGTCCTGTCAGTTTTCACAGTTATAGAAAAAAACTAAAAGTGAATAAAAACATAAACATGTTTCCCATATCCCGATCCAAAAATTGGTATTTTAAAGCAAAATTTCACTATTTCGTTTTATTCCTTTTATTGAGATTGTATTGTACTTTGATAATAAAATTATTTTTACATTAAAAACATAGTTTTTCCCACCTTAATGGACGCCATCTTGGAATTTATCATGATGACGTCATCATTCCGATCAATTTTTAAAAATTAGAGTGATGAGTAACTATTTAGCCAAGTTGTTGTTACATTCCATATCCACAGTATTTGTAAAAATGACCAAAAACAAATTTATTTCCCCTACCCCCATCTTAAATAGTTTAAAATAGGGTATTTTATGTCAAAATTTCAAAGAGCTGTAAAAAAATTGCCCAAGCCCTAGGCATGGGGATTTTTTTCTGAGACACTATAGGGTATGCTGATTCAGAAAAACCAAAAATTAATTTTCCTTTACTTTTTCCCGCTAAAGTTCATTTCAGCAGTTTTACAACCAGACTAGCAGCTTTTGAGGAGTAGCCCCCAAACTTTGCCCTTGGATACCACCGGGGAATGTGGCCTTTGCCAGCCTCCGACTCCCATTATTGGAACTCTGCCCATGCTTCCCCATCATCCAGTGCCCCTTTTGGTGGCCTTGACAGTATATCTAGCTAAACGGATTATACAGTATTAATACAAAGACTGAAAAATGCACAAACAATTATTTCAGTTGTCTATATTTTGATATTTATTCACCAACCAAAACATATGAACATCCTCCTCCATTGAATGCAACTAAATAATGCTAAACTAAACTAGATTCGTGTCCCTTTCAATAACAGCACTGGATCATACATATACACCTTATGTAGCACCACATCAAAAAACACAGCGACTTCTGTTCTTCATACTCTTTTAAGTACCAAAAATTACAAAACTGGGCCCAATATTACAATACTCACGACCTAACCCTCATATGGGGCTTATTTTAATACACTAAAATATTACTATTTAAACTTTTTTGTTCCAACATTTTTTTTCCTCTCACTCACACACACAGAAGGCATCAGTTTTTTTTGACATGGTTTATACAATCATCATCTCATTTGCATATTAATTTGCTCATTTGCATGCATTTATAGACAAATAGCACATCTCACTTTTTATTTCCCACCGTCACTAAATTGGCTCAAATATTCTATATAGTAACATAAAAATAAAGTTTTTTTATACAATTTATTTCCTAACTTTTCTCTTCCCTAAACGATCATGAATAACTTTTTTCATTTTTTTTTTGACCAAAATTTGATTCAATGCCATTTCAAGGTGGGAAGGTCTAAATGTGAGATGTACTCTCTATTTAAGATTACACACTTTTATTAGCTATATACAAGGAAAACATAAAAAATGAAAATAAACGTTTACATAAGATACGGTCTCCGATGCTTTATATACAATTGCAGAAATGTATACTCCACATCTGGATAAACTGTTCCCTAACACTACGTTCACCGACGAAAGTATTGCATTTTAAGTAACTCATCTCTTGTCTTGTTTCTTTTTCCGTCACATTTTGTATGTTGGATTCATACTGGAAGCAAGCTATACAAATCAATAAACATCTATAAATTACATGAAAAACATAATTAACATCAAAATTGTTTGGCTTTACTGGTATTTGTGTAGTCGCGATGTTACAAGATAAAAATACTAAAAACAATTTCCATTCATATGAAAAAAAAAACTGCACCATTAGATTATCTTTAAACCTACAAATTCTGATTAAATTCATGTATTAATAAAACTTTTAATAGAACTGGCCTTTATAAATTTGTTGATTCGGTGTAAATTCTTGCAACATTAATTAAAATAACGCTACAGTATTTTTGGTGCCTTAGTTATTTAGTTTTGAAAAAGAAAACATGCTTATTAATTGTAAATTCTTGTTACTGATAATTCATTAAACAAGGTGTTCCTTGCTTGCTTGACAATTGATTTGAATATTTATAAATTTATCTAGTAAAGAAAAAAAATCAGTATTGAATTTGTACAGTAAAAATGCAAGTATTGCAGTACAGCAAATAGTAAACATTGGATGGTTCAAATGATCTATGAAAACACAGAATGAGAAAACCTAACATATCAGAAAACTGTACATACAAAACAGGACTTCAAAGAAAGATTTGTATTAATCATTTAAAATATTACATTCAACAATTTCAATGCAAATCAGTTTTTACTATCCAATTTTCTCTGGTTCCCAAACTACTTTGAATAGAACTTCAGAAAATACACACACGGCCTGAGCCAACCAGTATAATATTAGAACCACCCCAATCAGGAGAGAATCGTTCAATTTATGGAGGTAATTATTTGAAACATTTTTCTAACCTCATGATGTATATGTTTAACATAGTCTGCATTCTATTTGGCAATACATCTTAAGCATACACACTTAGATATAGGCAGGGATTTTTAAATAAAAGTAAAGAATGGTGTGTATTTTCAGAAGATCCAAGATAATAAACTGTATAAACAGAGCAAATATATACATACTCAGCATCGTTAACCAGATACCAACATAGTTAAAATATACAATTTTAAAAGGGGAAGGGAGATAGCTTAACAATGGCAGAATCTGTAAAACATGAATATTTGTACCCGTTTGTATCAACTGGAATACAGTAATCTTTTCTACATCCCAATTTGCCGACTTATATTGCAAATGATTCATTACTAAACGCCTCAAGTTATTGGTGGCTCTCTTTATACTTGTTTGTGTTTGTAACTAAGTAGTTTTCCCAAAACAAATACTGTTAAAAATAACCTTGCATGAAAAATAAAATCAAACTTTCCACCAGATCTTAACATAAAGCACACATAAATAGTGTGTTAAAATGCTGACAAGAGAGACCAATTTAACACTAGGGGTAAGGAATTTAAATTTTAACAGATTACAGCATAATTATTTCAAATTCATTAACTGAAATTGTAAACTTCCAAATAGCAATTGTAAACTAAATATAAAAAAGGAGGAAATAAATTCAGCACAAATTATTATGGGTAATAAAATACTTAAATACAAATTTCGGGTGAAATTCAAAGTAAATAGAGTTTGATACCAATATATAAACTTGTATCACAGTGTTATTACCATATTGACTCGGATTAAGCCCACATACTAAGTCCAATATCACACATGTTCCACTAATAGATATTGTAATGCTTTTAAAAACAGTATTTCACATTTCTCTTTGGAGAATTTTAAGTTGTTTTTTGGCTTAATTAGAAGATGGGTTGACACCAGAGTGGATTGTTTACCTAAAGGTTTGGTGCAGCGCTTATTTGAGGATTTACGGTAGACGTATCACTTAGTGAGGCTCATAAAAGCGGCTACCCATCACAACGGAAGTGTGAGCTTCTACTTGTCAGCATGGTTATAACACCAAAAGTAAAACTGAGTAGAAAGTCTACTGAACATTGTATGCCCAGCATTTCTGATGTTTGAAAATGAGTCTATATAAATATCATACATCACTGGCTATGCTAGCTAGATAATATAGTTTCCTGAAACCTCTACCGTATAAAATATCAGCAGCCAGATACTAGCGTAGTTCCTCATATTGTAGGCTGCTAATACACACTGAAGTTCATTGAGCATGACCTGCAAATAGTTTCTATACAAATATCGTACAACACTGGCCAGCATGATAGCCTGTGATTTAGTAGCCAAGCTTGTAGGCAGGTACACCAACTGTTAGCTAGGCTCGTAGACAGCAACATTTTCTGCTAGTTAGGGTTGTAGGCAGCTAAACTTAGTAGTGGTGTAGGTAGCTAGACTGGCTGTAGCTAGGTTTTGTAGGTTCCAAGTACAGCATCTATACTAGGTTGATTGTTCAACATTACTTTAAGGAGCTGGTTTAAGTTGGTAGCTAGATGATCGACGTTTGTCTGTTAGTAGGCAGGCGCCAGAAAAAAATCCACCAATATAGACCATGCGACCATCCACAATAGCTTGCCATATGCACATCACACAAAATCATATTCCAGAACAGTATAGATTCTTTATTTAATGTTTAAACTGAAAAAAGGAGAAAAAAAGTATTTTTATATATCTGAAGGCAAATAAATCATTAGCTCAATTAATAATAATAGTGTAAATGTTTTTATAATGTATTTATAATATCCATTCATCAAAATGCTTGCCACATCCAGACTGGAAAAAACTAAAGGACTACTCTACATTACTCAGGAAAGGGAGCTTTTTGATTGCTTTCACTCGCCCAAGCCGTTGTCCCTAATCAGTACAGCGCTATATAAATGACCAGATTGAGATTGAGACCCAAGAATGAAAGGTCAGTCCTCTACTTACCAGGTTACGTTTTTTTTATTCTTCTTTGGGCTTTCTTTATTATTCTCCTTCCTTGGGGGTTGCTTGACCCACTGACGACTGCATTAAATGGATTGTCATTTGACCCTGCACTATAACAAAAAAACCCCAAACAAATGTTAACAACTATCAGAAAGTATAAAAGCAAATATATTGTCAAACTAATGTGTTGTTTAACTGAAGCTATTCTCCAAATAGAATAAAAGATGATTAAATTTAATTGTTGATGGGAATTACTAACACTGCAGGTTTTTCAGAAAGTTAAGTAGGAAACAGATAATGAAATTTGTCAACACTAAATGGTTTATTTATCTGTAGGAGCGATTTGACGTAGAAGCAGTTTGGAGCAGCGATTGCAGTTCTGCTGCTCAATCTTAAGGGTCGGATGTTCAATCCCTCGCTGTGCATTTCGCTTGTGTCCTTACGCAAGGAGGCACCCAGGAGTACAAGTGGGTACCTTGTAGGCTCAAACAAAATATGCGCTAATTACAGCTGCAACATCCTCCAGGGAGCTAAGCATGTGTTCCATATGTGCTTGATCCAATATATACAAGTCTAAACATATTATCATTATTATTACTATTACATTATCTGCTCTCCTAAAAACATAAGTTAAAATAGTTACATGATTTAGTTTCTTTAGTTAATTTAAGCAGAGTGCAAAATCTTAGATAATGAACATAAGACAGCAATATACTGTATAAATACAAACATTTATAAAGTAAAGTTAAACATCTTTATAACTGAAACATGCACTGCCATTACTATGAAATTAAAAAGTGCATTGTGAAATAAAATAACATGAATAACATTCAGATTTCATTTCAATTCCACTTTTCCTAATTTTACTTACTTCGATTGGAAAGGCATACTGTCGTTTCCAGAGCTGCCAAAACTGCCAAAATTATTTGGCTGGACCGCTGGCGTTGAGCCAAAAGTGAAGCCACTACTGCTAGGGGGTGGTGCGGGTTCAGAATTCTTGGCTCCAAATTGGAAAACTGAAGAATTACTTTGCTGCCCAAACTGGAAGGAGGTATTACTATTACTATTTGAATTACTATTGAATTGGAACCCTAGAGAGACAGAGGGAAAAAAAAAACAATATTTGTCATAATACCAATAAAATATCTTTTATTAATATTTCAATGCAATGCCGTAACATTTCAATTCAGTCGACAAATTTGATTTAAACATACCACCAGGTCCATTGGTTTGTGGGGCTGTGCTACCAAATGCTGGTGCCAGTGTATTGTTTGTACCTGCGCCACCAAAAGACCCTAAATTACTACTTCCAACACCAAAGCCGCTTCCTCCAATCGTAGAATTATTCTGGCCACCAAAACGTGGTACCGGAGCAACCGGATTCACAGAAGCACCAAAATTTGGTGTTGATGATGTAACTCCAAACTTTGGTGCGGCCTCGCTGTTGAAGGATTTACTGGAGGCACTAAAGTTGAAGCCGCCGCCGCCACTGCTTCCGCTGCTGTTACTACCAGATCCAGAACTAAAATTAAAACCACTGCTGGAGGAATTGACGCTGTTGCCAATTCCTTGTGACGCTGAATTAGTCGCAGCACCAAACCCTGAAGGAGGAAAGGTTACAGTTGTTATACATGTGGAACTGTGGGTTAAGATGCTCCCTTACTAGGTTTCTTGAAATTTGTTTTTCATTAACCAGAACTCCAATCATCATTAGTGGAATTTGCTACAGAGCAGAGAGGTCCTTAAATAAGCCAAACCAGTGACATTTGTGAATGGCTCTGGAGAAACGAGCCGTTTGTAGGAAAAATTCAAAGTTGAGTACAGCAGAACCCCTCATTTACGTACGGGAATAATAATAATGAATGAATAATAAAGTTAAAAAGAAAATGTAGGTGTCAGTGTCTTATTTTTTGGGGAAAACAATGAAATGGCAGATGAAACACAGACATGAAGTATGATCGTCGTGTTGAATGTCGGTGTATTCAAAGCGCACTATGTATGTTTTGTATTGTAGTAGAGATCCCTGATAGTGTACAGCAAACCGACTGAGTGAATAAACTTTAGCACGTGCCTAACGATTAATTCTTGACACGCCGTGTGTGTTTTGTACATGAAATAGGAATTTTATTTTTGACAACAATGACATGATTTTACATTCGTAAAATCGAGAATTCCTAAAATCGGGGTTTGTAAATGAGGGGTTCTACTGTATTGAAAAACTGTTTTTAAAACAGTGTTTATTTGATGGACATTGGTTGAGTATTGAGAAACAGCTTTCAAAGATTCCAAAATCAATAGCTTAATACGAGGATTTGTATTTTTTTTTATAAGTTAAGTTTACTATACTTTTCAGTTAGATTAATGTATGATATTTTATAAAATGCAGAAACCTGAAAATGTTCATAATTCTGATTCTAGTTTTGCCAGAGCCAGTCACATTTTAAAATTAATTAAAACTTTATATGTGGCATTTCAAAAGTACATTTGGTTTACCATAAAAAAAAAAATTGCGAAAGAAAACAAAAATTACACCTCCAGACAAACTGTACAGGAGCCAAAATTATCTGTACTTTAATGTGCTCATTTTAAGTGATTTCCTAATGACAACATGACCATTAATAGTGAAAAGACTTATCATTCTCTTTACAACGACCTTGAACTAGTTTACCACACTAGTTTTAGCAATTAGAATAGCGCCACTCATGAACAAAAAGTGAGATTCTCTATTCCTATTGTACAGCATCTGCCTGACCAAGTATGCACAGCTCCTAAATGGAATATATCTCAGCTGAAAATGATTGATGTTTCTTGATTTAAAGGAAGTTTTATGTCAATTTATTGGTTTCCACATTTTCTTTCTTGGCTAATGTAACATTTTATATTATATATGAAGACTTTTTAATACAATTTTAAGTGTTTTTTTAGTTAAAAAATACTGTAATGACATCACCACCACAAATGAAGTTTCTAAAATCAAGACTTCGTAATTGGAAAGTTTGAATTGGAGAAGTTACTTAGTACTGTATAGATTTTTTTCAATTCAATTCAATTCAACAAAACATTTATTTTCTTCCACAAAAATACAAAATAGCAAATACAAAGAAGTACACAAGTACAAAAATTAGTCACACTTCTTAATCTATGAAGATGTTCTATTCAGAAAAATTGTTAGAATTTACCTCCAAATGCTGGTGGATTCGGATTACTATTTTGACCGAACTTGAACGTGGGCGGTTCTGCTGCAGGCTTGGCACCGAAAGTGAACATAGGTCGAGAGCTGGGATTGGTAGACTTTGCTGGCTCTTGCGTGTTCTTGTTGCTTGTGCTACCAAAATTAAACCCACCTACTTTTGCTGGCGGGCCTCCTGTACCTAAAAGAACACACTCAGTTTTAAAATAAACCATTACTTAAAGGAGCCATGAAACAATACAAGCATTCATCACACTTTAAGCAGGGTTTTCACTGTGCCTGATGGTCGTTGGCTGACACAATTCTATGGAGGACGCAGCACAATGGTGCACACGCAACACATCGTTTTTAATGACGATCCATTCCGGCATCGCACTGTCTAGCGCTCACAGGTTGGATTCGTCGTAAAATTAAGTGAATGCCTGGCTAAGAAGACAATACACAATGGATACTTTTGGTAGAACCATTTTGCCGAGAAAATGAAATTTTTATAGAATTTTTCAGCCCTCTTCTTACAACCTTCCAAAATAAAGTTTACTGAACACTAATAAATCTAAAAATAATAATACACAATGTATTTACCACAAGACTCCTTTGCTTGTCCTGAGAATACAAATGTTGAGGGAGTTTTCGTCTCTGTGGTTGTCGATGATGCTGCTCCGAACTGGAAAGTAACTCCAGAGGCAGGTTTATTTACATCAATATTGTTAAGCACAGCATTTCCAGCATGGACTAAAGTATTCGTGGAACCAAAGACAGACCCAGAATCTTTACTCTCCGTTACAGAAGAGTTTTTGGAACCAAATGAGAATCCTGTGCTGGCGGACCCTGTAGAAAGTTGGAATGCCGATGAAGAAGAAGATGAAGATGTTTCTTTCTTTAGGTTGTTTTCAGAGCCATTTCCCAATAGAGGTCCGTCACTATTTGTGAGAGCGTTTGTTTGACTGCTTTTAGCACCAAATACAAATGTAGTACTATCACTACTACTACTGTTAGTTTTTGCAGCAGTGGTAACTACATTTCCAAATCTAAATCCTCCACTCGACGATCCCTGACTCTCGCCAGTATTATTAAACATACTGTTCACTGGCTTCTCTGTCGAGTTTGTTGTCGAACTCTGTCCACCAAAGCTGAAGCCGCCAATGGTAGCTGCAGCTGTAGCCTTCTCAGAAGTTTGTCCAAAAGAAAATGTGCTGGAGTTTTGCGATTCCGGTTTTTCAGAGCTACTTGGCTTTCTGAATTGAAAAGTGGGTTTTTCAGAGATTTTCTGTTCTTGTTTAACCATATCGTTTGTCTTGGAGGAAGTTTCACTGATACTAATTGCACTACTTGTGTTCGTATTACTCACTGACAATGGTTTGCCAAACGTGAAGCCCCCACCGGTGGGGGGTTTTGATTGTTCACTACCACCAAAAGTGAAACCACCTGAAGATGGCGGAGCTGTGCCTCCAAATTTAAAAGTGGATGAAGACTTTTCGGTGGAAGATGACTGGTTTAAATTCCCTCCAAACTTAAAAACTGATGCTGAGAATAATTTTAAAAAAGTAAACAATTAGTATAGTATTTAAAGAATAAATGTTTTGCATCGTCCCACAATTATTTATATAATTTAGGTGATGAATAACCTCCAAAAATTTACAAGCATCATTACCAGGAATAATATATGATACAAAAGCCTTGTTCGCACTGGATTTAAAAAATGGTAAATTTAACCAGGGTAACTTTAACCAAAGTCATGGGTACATTTCACCATTGTTTGCACTTGGATTATTCACGCGGTTAGTTTTACCAGTTTTACCAAGATTTAACCTTTGTGTATAAAAAATATTATTGAGGCGCTAGTTTGTTAGTTTTTTAACCGTGTTGCACATTCGGATTTTTTTGGTCAATTTAGCCAGTGACTCGGTTAATTTGACCAAATTAAGTCCAGTGCGATAGGGGCTAACAAGACAAACTATATACAATTTACCAGATGATGAAGGTAACATTTTATATATATTTTTAAAATTTAACTTATGAAAATAAGGTTACACTCAACGTTAGGCTTCAAATAAAAAAATGTTTTCTTTACCAGGAGGAGCCTTGAGTAAGGGTTCACAGCCAGGCTGAACAGCCTCACATGCTGCGCATTTACTTGACGACTTCTGATTCTGTATCAGACATGTGTCGCAAGTCCATGATCCAGGTGCCGGTTTGAACTTGTCTCCAAAACCAATAATTGCCTTAGTTTCCGGCTGAAGAGGAGAGAAAGAGAGGTGTCAACAGTTACAGAAAATCCAAAACTTCTCATGGTTTTCAAATTAAAAATTTCCTTCTGTACATATCCTATACGAGGCTTGCCATCCCAAAAACCAGCACCAATGACCAGAAGCAAAAATGAAAATTTATTTTTTTAAATATATTCACATTCTTCACATTATAAGATGATAGGTCATTTACTGGTATTCATAAAATTGGGGTTGACCCTTATTTCTATATATTTGCACTGGTACTACTTACACTGGCATAAACTTGGCCTAGGCCTACAGTAGGCAGTTTCTAAGCATTCTGATCTCACTCTAGGCCTTACACAAATATGTTTTTAATCGGACGTTTTTACCTGCTTAAATACCTAGATTATGGAATTTACTACAACACAACTTCCATAGATACTTGTTTATTATATATATTAATTATTCAACAAAACAATCAAGCACTATGTTAACTTTTAAAGCTGAAAACGATGATTAAAAAGAAGTAAAATTTGTCGCATGCACATGTGTGAAGCCATAATAAACAGTGAATTTGAAGGCCTGTTAGAGGGCTTCCTTTACTTGAGAATTACATAGTACTGTATAGTATGGTGTGTTGTGTTGTATGTATGCTAATAACAGTTACAATTCGAGCAGATTTTTTTTTTTTTTTTCTTTGATTTTTGATTTTTCACTTCACATTTTATGATGTTATGACCTTAATTTTACGTTTGTTAAATCGGGATTCGTAATTGAAAGTTTCTACTGTATTACAGTTTCTCTGTAATAAAGTGTACAATACTGACACATTTATATGCTAATTACTGTTTAACAATCAGTGACACTACACTGGTTTCGGGATGGCAAGCCTTACATGTTGCAAAGACCAGCCAAACCAGTCACTCGTCGCAAATTGTGTTTCAGAGATAATGGCCAAAACATGCTGGGATGACACTTTTTTAAAGTCTAGTTCATTGCACTAAACTAACCTTTGTATAACAATACATCATGCTATGCTGTTATTTTCCTCATTTTTAATGTTAAAACAACAATTTTCAACAATTTGATGGTTCCTGTCTGAGAAATGCCCAAAATCATAAACTTTGAAGGTAATTTCTCAAATACTGTTCCTTAAACAGCTGTATACTTAAAACGCTTGTAACTTCATAAGGTAACGTCGGATTTAAAGGATTCTATTAACGTTTCATAGCTCTGGATTTTACTGTTTAACCCTGTATTAACAGCTAACAATTGATTTTGGTGACTGGTTTGGCTTGTCTTTGACACATATCATTGTTCATATATGGGTATATGACTTGTCCATATATATGGGTATATGACATGTCCTTACATGGGACAGATTGATGTCAGTCATTGACAGTGTGGACTGGTAGTAAAGTCCTTACAAACAATCAAATTATATTTGACAAAAGACTGCTGCATCCCTGTATACTGTATAGCCACGACATGCCTATATACAGTATCGTAATGATGTGATGTCATCATGACCATATTTGGGCATGCCGCAGGCTTTCGTCACATAAATTTTGATCCTGTAGATAGAGCTTTGCAGAGCAAGTTGAGGACATTAATTACCTTGCTTCCTGGTTTTGCAGAACCACATGCAACACATTTAACATCTTCAGATTTGTTTCGGATAAGGCATGTATTACAGGACCAGGTCTCTGATGGAGGGGCAAACTGCTCTTGTAACGTGATTGAACTTTGCTTATTCTACCAATACAATTAGATAAAAAAAAAAAAAAGATGTACATTTATTTGCAAGATATACAAGATCCATAAAGGGGTATGGCCAATGTTGCTATGCAAACACTGTTAAATATCAACTACTGTATGGTCTGCATCAACAATTCGTTCAGGCTGCCACCGACAATCAGCAAACACTGATGCGTCGTCTAACACTCGCGGAAGTGGAGTTTGATTCGTTGGCTGACGTTCGTAACGATTGTCGTACAACACAGCAAGTGCCCTACTTAAGATACATCAACAAGACCGAGAAATAAATAAAATGCCAAAATGCTAGAAATCGATATTAAAGACACCTTAATTCTTACCTTTGTTGATTTGATTTCATCTTTTGAAATAGTGTTACTGAGAAAATTTAACTTATTATTCTTCGATATTGCCATCTCTACATCAAGTTTCTGAAAGAGGAAATTAAAAAAAAATAAAAAAATGAATGCCTTATCATTATCCCAATAATACCATATATTTTAGCGAGAATCATAGTGATTCAACCTACTTGTATAATTTTTCTCTTGCTATCTTGAGTGTGTTGCCAGGCAAATAGCGACAGCTTACTTATGAATAACTGTACTGCCTTGGAGAAGAGAACGGTTGTTTCCGCACTTATCATCTACAACAGAGTATAGTAATACGTAAACATAATACAGACATTCAAATTATCCAAAATTACGTAATCCTGCATCCGAACCGAATTAATGCTTGACAATATTTTTTTAATTCAGAGAGTTCGAATTGGTTAAGATGTCATATTAATCTTAAGATTTCTAATTTAAGTGTTTTTGTTGAGAAAATATCATCAGTAATGACCTTGTTGTCACAAACTGCTAAAATATAGAGTTTGTTATTGGGTGGTTTAGCGTAGTACAATCAGATAATACAAGTTTTGAGTTTTAGTTAAAATCCTATTGTCCTTTGGAAAATTTGTTACTCAGATTACATACACAAAATGTAGAAATACTTCTTTTAGAGTTCCCATTAAAAGCATGGATTGTCCGCAGTATTTACTGATTTAAATAAAACGACATCACCACCACCAGAACATCACAATAATCAAAGAAAAAAAAATGTAAAGTGCAATTAATGTTAAAATGTATGCCTTATGTGATAAACATATTATAGGATATACACATACAATGAGTAGAAAATACAATATTAATTAATCAATAAATTAACTAAACAAGATTTGCTGTATAGAGTGGTTTTCAATAGTTTCTTTTTTAATTTCATTTCTGATGCAAGCTTGTTTGTACTAAATAAATGGTTTCATATTTGTGATTATTGTTCCATTTGTATAGTTAGAATTTTATATATTTTTACTTATAAAAGCTATATCAAATTTATAGAAGAGAGAAATAACAGATGGTTACCCCACAAAATAGAGAACAATAACCGAATCTAAATTAACTAATTCTAGTTTTATACCAATACTTTTTTATACCAATACTATTTTACTGGTGACTGAAACTTGTGTACTTTACAATATATTTAATATAGTTTTAAGTACTCAACTTAAAGTGATAGATTTATAAGCAAAAATGTATTTATTGGATTAGCTTTTAATATTATTTATCTGATTTATGTGAACATTTTACTTTTTAAGTAGATAGATTATTCTTAATATTTGTTAGAAAAATCTTTCCTTAACTATTGGTTCTTATTGTTATCATCATCAAATTATTGATGCCATTATTTGTATCATTATATTGTACCGTAAAATTTAAGGTGAAATGAAAATACAGTAGACAAAATTTTGTGTGAATCTTTTTCGTTGGTGTGAATCCCACGAAAGAGAGAAAAAAAGAATATATACATGATTTGATTTGATTTAAATTTATTTAGTTCCAATAAAATACAGTCATAAAAGATGCAAGAACAAGAGAAATATTAAAACAGATAAAAAAAAAGACTAAACAAACAGTAGAAACAAGTTGATTGACCTTCAATATACATACCTTCACATTCTTATCTTGTTTCATTATCTTCTTTATTCTTGCTAACGATGGCAGATCCAGTGTATTAGAACAAGTCTAAAAAGAAAACCCTAAATTATTATGTTCTGATGTTTTTTTTGTTTATTGATCATTTATGCTGGTACAAACAATGTGTTATAAATTATCTGTTCATTGTGTATTGTAATATATAAATTTAAAAAAAAAACAATGACCTCTGGAAAAAGTAATTATAGTGCATATTGCAATAAATTGTCATTATTAAAGAGATATGCTTTGCATTTTGTGCCTACTGACCTCGCAAGGACTATCGTCTCACTAGGTTGAGAGTAAATCTGGTTTTGAGAGTTTAAAGAAAGGAATTATGGGATACCCTTGCATCATAATAAGCTAAAGCAAAGAGTATAGAATTTCAAGAGGTCCAACTGTCAAGGTTTCCTTGAAACAGAATCCTATCTCAAGCAGACGTGCCAACCGTACAAGGCCAACAAGAGGAGTCTGAAACCTTGTTAGAGGAGTTTTGGCAATGTGAGGTGTATGGCTGTGTTCACACACACGGCGTAAGACTGGCGTGGCTTACGCCAGGCGTAAGCTAGTCCACGGATTAAAATTCCAAAGTGTTCACACAAACGGCGTTCGTTAAACTAGCAGTAATATAGGCCTATGTGGAGTGGAATAGTTTTCAGTTTTAAATAATGTACGGTACGTGTTAACAGTAGTAAAATTAACAGTGCATCATGAAAACTTTTAAATCTGTGAATTGTTCGAATTGAACTTATATGATTATTGTATTTTAAATGAACATTTTTCAGCTAGCATTGTTGATGTTGCATGTTTTAATAGACAGTCTAAATGGTTAAAATATCTTACAAAACACAATCAATAAATCATATACATTATAACTAAGTAAAATGCAATAGAAAAGGAACCCCTTTACCATTTCATTTATAGAGAGCACAGAAAAGAGACCAAAGTAGCTAATATATTGTACAATAATCGTGATTAGTCAATCTCTTGAAATGAGGTCAAATCATTCAAGCATCACTGGCGTTAGCTCAGTGGCGTTAGCTAATCTGGGGTCTGCAGGTAGCGTTAATAACGCCAAGGACGTGGCGTAGTGAGTGGCTTTAACAACGCCACTGTCTAGTTCACACACAAAGGCGTACGCTACACCAGGCTTAAGCCAGCCTTACGCCGTGTGTGTGAACATAGCCTATGTTAAATCAATTAATCAAAAAAAATTATTTAAATCCTAAGATATATACTAATGTGATCGGATTGTAAAATATAACCATGAGAGTTTTAAATTTCTCTCCATTTTGGTACTCGAGGTTTACTGAACTGTTGTTATGAAATCAGTAGACCATAGAGCGCTATATAGTTCAAAGCGCAACACTGACAGCAATTTGGCCAATGAAAACTGTTTTTCAAAATCAGTAAACAGTGGAGCGCGAATTACTTTTGTATACAGTTCAGAGTGCTGTTACAGGACGAAATTAACTGGTCTTGTTCTTATCTAATCAAAGGACTTTATTATCCAGAAATACATTATTTATTTCAGCCGTCCGAAATGCATAAAAAGCGTATTTTTTTTCTACCCAAAATCGGAGTGGTTGGCATGTCTGCAGTAGACGCATGCCAACCACTGGGAGCTTATTTTTGATAATGTAAGGACACCACAAAATAATGCAAGCAAGTCCCAACATGTTGATCAGTAGGTTAAATAATCACTAATTCAATGTTAGACGATCACTAGTTCTCTCAGTTAGTTCTATCTACTTTATCAATAATTCAAATTCATTTGAACAGTAAGTTTTTCTATCAACTACTTAACCTACCTGATCTGTAGAGGGTTTGCCTGAACTACAAGCTACACACTTGCTTACAGAGGGCTTATTGCTAATGAGACAAGTCGAACATGTCCAGTTATCTGCTGGGGGTTTCAAGTGACTAAGATCCATGTTGGAAGATATGGACACTGCAGGCTTTGCACTTCCTGGATTGCTTACTCCTAGGCTAGACGGCTGACTTTTTGTTGCCGGCTTAGCCGCTGTACATGCAACACATTTTATTGAATCCTCCTTATTCACTACAAGGCATACATCACAAGTCCATGAGCCTTTCTGTAGTTTAAATTGTTCTGCTAAGCTAATCTTGGGTTGGATAGAGTTTTGCGTAGGCGGCTTTGGGCCCGCACATGCTATACAAGTGTCCCTTTCGGGTTTGTTATTCAATAAACAAACATTACATTTCCATGAGCCTGGCACTGGCTTAAATTTATCTCCGAAGCCAATTTGAGGCGAACTAGTTTGATTCGGATTGCTACTCTGTAAATGTGCCGTACAAGTTTTACTGGAGGCCAGTGATTGTGGAACAATTGAGCTTGTCTGTACTGAATCTTGTTTAAGTTCAATACGGTTTGAACCATTGCTTGCCTTAGGTTTGGCCGCCATACAGGCAATGCATGTTTTTGCATCTGGCTTGTTATCAAGTAAACATGTAGAGCAATTCCATGTTCCTGGCTTTTTGAATTTATCTCCAAATCCAATTACTGTATTCTTGATATTTCCTGAACCATCGGTGCCTGTTTTCCCAGGAACTGAAAACATAAAATGTTAATTAGTTATAATGCACCTCATTTAAAAGCAAAATCAAGAAAATGACAAGAAAGAAAGTGTGAGAGCCGAGCTGTGAGAGCCGATGTTACTATGCAGCCATTTTTGTAAAATATTTGTAACAATAAGTAAACAACGGATTCAGGACTTTTCCTTAAAAAGAACTCAAAATATAAAGGGCACAATTACATGACTAATACTATGTGTATGCAAAAATTTCGACGAATTTGATGACGTCAGCATCGCAGACGCACATGCAAAGGCCATTGCAAACAAAATTGCCATTTGATAACAACAAAAAAAATCACAAAAATACAGAAGATATGATTAGAGAAACTTTACTTACCAATTCCTAAAAATTCTAGACAACTTCCCTTTTTTAATTCCTTTGCTGGTTTTAGGCCACCTCCGGTGCTTTCTTCCTCTTCCACATTTTTCGTCTCCTTTCTTTTTAATGTTGAGCTCGTTGGAGCTGAGAACAAGAACTGCATGGGCAACGTAGATGAAGATGTACTCAAAGTTGTGATTACCTTAGGGTCACTGAAAGTATATGTCTGCAAAAAGCACAAAGAAACACATTAAATATATTAGCATCTAGAGTAAAACACTGTCCAGACTATCAAATTGGATTTGACGAAAAACAAACGTGTGACATGACCAAATATTGTCATGATAACATCACATCATGACCATATATAGCAACATAATGCGTATATATGGACACACAACAGTTTTTTTTGTCAAAGAAAATTTGATAGTGGACAGCTTTGGGATCAAATAACAAATATTTACACATGTTGTTAGTCATTGCAATGGCACACTTCTATACATTAGTTTTTGTGTTGAAACCGGCTTTTCCATCAGCCAGGTGTATCTATGGCACGCTCAGAAGTTATCGGCAGAGAAAGTTCTTATTATTTACTTAACACGATAATTTCACACTTAACTGTCACCAGTGGCCATGTCTCTAGAAACAGTAACATGTTTACAGCACTGCAACACAAAATCCACCCCATTAAGCTGTCAACTCTATAAAAATGTTGTTTGACAAAGGCATATTGGCATGCCTAAATATGGTGATGATGACATCACATCATGACCATACATAGGCACATCATCACTACATATGGGCATACAACAGTTTATAGTCAATGAAAATTTGATAGCCGAACCAAAGCTTCGCATCTAAATAGCAAGGTAAAGTCAATAAAGCCATGGCTTACCTTTGCAGACACCGATTCCGAAGCAATAGGAGGCGCTGGTTTGGATATTGAAGGGCGGAAATTGAGCGGTACAGCTGGCTTTGACACAGTAGAGGGAGTAGATATGACTGGCTTGGGGCTTTTTGTCTTGGAGGAGGAAGGTGCTATTAAGTTGAAAGAAGGCATTTTGCCTTTAGGTAGTGGCAAAGGCATGTTAGGTAAATCTAGTTCTTCCAACTGTAAAAAAAAACCAAAAAAAATCACAATATATTTATGTTATAACGAAAAAATGTTGAAATAATTGTTTTCAACCATTATTAAGTTAAACATTTTCATTAGCAGGGATTAATTTCGCCAGTATCGCTTTGCAAATTGCTACACAAAATAAAAGAACTGCTACGCAATTACAGAAGTGAATCGTGTAAGTTTGCGATACAATTTTACTAATTTTAATAGCAAAAGAAACATTGTAAAAGTGACTGGAAATATTTTCTTTAAAAAACGGAGCTTTTGAGTCAATCCCTAGACTAGTATGCTGTTACTATACTGTGGACATGCATTAGACAAGTACTACAAACAGCATGCAGCAGTGAGTTTGAATTAAGAAAATCCCTTAATCATTAACCAACAGAACGTGACATGCATGTTTACCATCTCTCTTACAAGTCGACCGCTCAGGTAGTGAAACATTTGTAGGGCCTGTACTACCTTAAATTCATGTTATTTTCACATCATATTCTTCAAAAATCCTCCAACATTTATATTTAATAATAAATGAGGCAGCTGTTTCTGCTGAATAACGCCAAAAACATGTGTTTTATATGAACGGTTAAATTCCTGCTGAACGCGTTTCTAGTGAAAAGTGCAACTAATAAAAACATGATAATGCAAGCATTGGCAGGTGGGCGGAGCTTAAATGACGAGCTGACCTTACTTCCTGCGAGCTAGAGCGCTTGCTGCGAAAGAATTAAACAACCCCCCCCCCTGCGAAAGTATTAAAGAAAGTATGATATGATCTTCAAGCATATCATCCTATTGGTTTAATTTTTTTCTTCGCCCCGAATTTCCTGCGGACAAGCAAACAAACCAACGAAGAGGTCAATTTGGGTCACCGACGAGTCTTGAAAAACACAGTATTGTATTGCAGCTAAAAAGTCTACCACAAAACATGTTTTTCTGAACGCGAACTCTATAACGAATGCGTGTAAAAACATGCATTTTTTGAACGCATTCCTAACCGTATTTTTGTTTTGTGGCCAATTTCTACTGGGGAAAAAACACAGTTTTTTAAATAACCATTTAAAAACGCGTTTTTTTTGCTCAGCAGAAACAGGCCCTTAGATATGGCCGCCATACAGGCAATGCATGTTTTTGCATTTGGCTTGTCATCAATCAAACTATGTATAGCAATTCCATGTTCCTAGCTCTCTTTTAAATTTCAGACAGCCCCTTTCAGACAGAGCTGCAATACCGCAATATTGCGGTAAGCACGCCAGCATGGGTTTCTGTCTGAAAGGTTGATACGCCAATATGTCAGCTTACTTTAGGCCACCATGCACCTTAATAATATTGCCGCAAAATTGCGGTAACGGTTGCTGGCTTGCTGTCCGAAAGCGTCTACTCGATATTGCGGCAATCAAGCAGACGAGTGCATTTATGCATAAAAGGTTAAAGTTGAAAACAACTGTGCGTTATTGTACAGTACTTAAACCGCCAATATTACGCCATTCTATAGGACCCTTTCAGACACAAAGCGCAAGATTACCGCAATATTGAGGTAACAAAGGCGCTGTGTGAAAGGGTACAGGCCAGTTATTATGCCGGCATGCTTATTGCAATATTGCGGCAACGTCTATCTGAAAGGGGCTTTATAGTGAGTGAATGGGTAAGTGGCTTAACCTTTTAAATGTTTTCGGTAACTTTTGTATGTTGTTTTTGTAATTGCACATAGTATTACAACATTGACCCAACATTGCTTCACACATTTGATGTACCATCCAGCATCCTCCCACTCAGGAATGGTACATATTACGGTGTATGACATTTATCGCCAACCAGAAAAATGTATTATCCTTCTCTTTTTTGGGGGGGGCGGGGGAGAGAGGGTGTGGTGCCGAGGAGTTTCCTTCAAAAAGGGGACACCACACACACTGAAAAGGAGCCACCTGTGGAAGGCTTACCATTTCATTTTCATCATCATCTTTGTTGGAGAAGTGTACCGCAGACTTCTTCTTAGATTTCATTTTTCCCCCTCCTCCAAATCCTGTATTCGGAACACTGGAGACTAAAGTAGTTGGTGGTGTAGCAGGTATACTATTGGGAACACCATATCTGAAAGAGCAATCAGGTAAAGTGAAAAATTGTCAATCGTGGCTAACAAAAACTACATGACTCTCTACAGTTGAGGTAGAGATGTACTTTGACAACTCTCTTAAGGTAAAATCAGACAGCAACGTGATTTGTTGTCGCATTGGATCTGTGCGAGTAAAACTCAGACGCGATGGTTTACGTAGGCGGCAGTCGTGTCGTGGAATATTAAACATGTTTAATATATCTCACGACGGCTTAAGAATGTCCCCAATGAATTGCGTCAAGCTGCGTCGTACGACGCGGTCAGAGTTGGCCTTCAATCTATCGATTCTGAGGCTTGAGGGAAATCACTTTAATAGTGTTAAAATAACGCTATTTTGATTGCCAATCCAAAATATTGTTGTTTAAAAGCACATTTAGGACCAACTTAAGCCATAAAAACTCTCCCCATTAACCCTAACAGCGATTTTTTTTATTCCGGGCTGTCGACCGAGGCTTCGTTGTTGCCTTGGTTCGGACCCCTCTGTCGGACACGTCGGACCCCTTGTCGGCAAATTTCTGGCGCCACCGCTGATTGTAGGGTGAAATGCAACACAATTATTAGTATTTTTGCTGTACACTGTTTTAGGACTGTGTTGTAATACTAATACGTTTACACCGTCGTCATTTATTATAAATTACAGGTCTCCCTCCAATTACAGACCACTTTTGGGACAGCGGTTTAGGACAGAAAAGTGGTCTTTCATTGGAGATGATGATCTTTCATTCGAGGGGTCATAATTAGAGGGAGACCTGTAGCTATAAGTAACTCGAAAGCTAAACTGCGAACATAAAGCAATTATTAATCTTACTTACGGTGTTCTAACTTTTGGTTCTGTGTGTGTGGTTGGTACTGGACGCGGTGCAACAGGTGGCCCGGGTCTGAGGGCAGTTCTTGCACGTTTAGGTGGCTATAATAAATATTACAAAACTGGTGTTACTATCACATTAGGAGGTTATTTAATTAATGAATTCAATAAAAGCATTTTATAAAACCCTATTTATAATAACAATAGTTGACTAATAAACACAGAATTCGAAATTCAATTTATATTCTCTTTAATTTTAATCTCAACTCACATTAAAGACAAGTGGAGAAGCTGTGGGTGAAAGAGGGATCTTCTTGGCATCTGTCAGTGGTGTTGACATCTTCTCTAATGTTTCCAGTATTTGTTTTGCAGCTGCACTCGTTACACCGAAGCTGGAGTTCATTGCATTACTAGCCTGCTTTGGTTTCAATCGCCTTCTGATTGGATGATACACCTATACAGAATGTTATTGATCAAAATAATCATTGAAATTGATATCATTACTTAGTCATAGCAATAAACAATATGGTTCTTAATGTCATAATGACAGTCTGTGGTGAATTTTGAGACCTCAAAATTCATTAATATATTTAAATATTTTGCTAATAACCATTAATGTAATGTGCACTTTAGGCCAGAGTTTTTTTTATACCTTGTTTTGCGAACTTATTTTTTTTAAGATCGTCAATGGAAAAAAATAAAAAAATATTTTGTTTTATTTAGCAAATAATGTTGCCAATGAAAGGGAGGGGAAAATAAAAATAAAGTTTATTGGTGAATGTAAACAGCTGTCTCTTATACACATCTTACAGTACTTAAACCGCCAATATTACGCCATTCTATAGGACCCTTTCAGACACAAAGCGCAAGATTACCGCAATATTGAGGTAACAAAGGCGCTGTGTGAAAGGGTACAGGCCAGTTATCTGTGTAAATTGTTTGCGTGCATTTCTTTAGGTCTGATTATGTTTTTCCAAGCACATATTCCTCGTTGGGCAATGCCACTTGCTGGTCGGCAGTCTAGTTGTAAACAGAACAGGTCGAGCCCCCAAAACCCTGCCTGCTCGCCAATTGGTCCATTTTCATTGGGTGTTTTGCACTAGACATGTGCTTCGGCTGTGATGACGTCAGATCGCCCAAAGTTTCTTATTTCAAGGCAGCAGCAGGCTTAATAAAGGTAAAGATAAACTTTTTTCGTGAGGCGGCTGCGCTAATTGGCCAAAAATAAAATTTTATTTTTATTCAAAATCATCATTATTGGCGGGTGGCACGTTTGCTATAAACAAGGTATAAAAAACAATCACGCCTTAGCCACAATAAATCCCAATTTGAGCACACAATATCTTTATTTTGTATGTTCTGTCTAATGAAATAAATTGTTTGTCTGCTGGAATTTGATAACGCTCTTCTTCCTTTAACCAAGTCTGATCAAACATTGTGAGACTGACAGACAAAATTCTAAAGTCCTATTCAGACTATCAACTTTTATTAGACAGAAACAAGTGACATGCCTAAATATGGTCATGATGACATCTCATCATGACCATACATAGGCACATCATGACTATATATGGGCATACAATAGTTTTTTTTTTGTCAAAGGAAATATGATAGTGTGGGAAGAGCTGTAAATTGGATAATGTTGTTCTTCCTTTGACCAAGTCTGATCAAACATTGTGCAGACTGACAAAGTTCTTCCCACACTATCACATTTCCTTTGACAAAAAATGGTATGACCATATATAGTTATCATGTGCCTATATATGTGAAGTCAGCATGACCATATATAGGCATGTCACGTGTTTTTGAAAATGTCTGATAAAATCTAACAATGTGGACAGTGCTTTAGTGTTGATGTTTGCCCAGTTTCATTAAATGGGACTAGATGACAAAATTAATTTAATCAGTGAAAAAATTCAGGCAATGAAAGTGATTGTTCACTTTTTTGTAAGAATTGGGAGATAAATTCTCAATCGTGACAAAATATAATTTAGATGACTGACAGCAATCGTAAGTCCAATCTAGCAGTCAGTCGTTCTTAATACCTACATTCGATTACATACCTGATAGGGTGAATTGATTTTACTGGACGTTGCTGGACGTTGAGCAGATGCCCCGCCGTATGTAGTCCTTCCGGGGTAGAAAGGTGAAGCAAATGGCCCGGCTGGACTCTCGCGACCCTGTTTGCAAAAGTAAGTCAGTGGAAAATTTAAACAACTATCGGGTAACAGTATCAGTCCTTGGGGACTTCTGTACTAATGTATTATTAAAAAGAGTTCATATCCCTCAACGCCACATAAACAATACATCATTTAATAATTATACAATACTTTATTTTTCGCTCAAATGTAAATAATATATGTATTAATATCATCATGTTACATTACATGACATTGCATATTTTATTATTCTTTTGATTCAAGCAATGTTAGAATAGTTAATTCATATTTGAAATATTTTTATATTGCATTGTACTGAGTTGCAATCAATGAAATTTTAGATGTTTTGATTAAAGATGTATTGTCCCATGCTAAATACCAAAAAAAATCATAAAAATATTTTTTTTTAAATTAACTTGCCCATTTTGAAGTAACATAAGTTATCAACTTGAACATAGAAATTAGTGCATTTAAAAAATGTCTACCCACACTTTACAGCGAAAAATGATAGAAACACTTCCAGTCACTGAATTTTTTTTATTATAATTTTTTAGGTTAAAAATCAGGGTGCACATTTTTTAAATTCAATAATTTATATGCACAAGTTAATAAATTGTATACTACTGCAATATGAGCAAGTTTATTTTAAAATTATTTCTTATGATTTTTTGACATTAGCAAGGGATATACATCTTTAAGTGTAGTAATTTTACAATTCGATATTTTTTTTTATCAATTATTTATATTTTGCTCATTCTTAATGTAGTTTTTAGATTTTGTATATGTTTTATAAATTATTTACATAAGGCTGTAAATGCAATAATTTCCACATTTGCTGCCATGTGTATAACTTTTGTTATTCAAAAAATAAAAAAATTAAATAATAATGTTTATCTTTTGATTAATTGACATTTGGAATAAAAAAATCACGTTCATTCAGTATTGCCCCACCCCCTATAATCACAACAAATTGGTTATATTTTTATTTGATTACCATTGCAGGAGTTATATAGAATTTACCGTATAATTTTCAACAATTTCAAAACATTGTTATGCATGAAACAAGGTGAAATGGTGTTAAATCTATGTTACATTATTTCCACTTACAGATATCGGAGACCCAAAATAACTAGAGTTAAAAGCAGGTTTCTGCAGGTTTCTTCCAGCAGGCTGGGGTCTTGAGGCTAATCTTGGAGTATTTGTAGTATTTATCCATGGTTTTGCAGATGTTCTCTCTAAATTGAGAAAACAAAAAGTTGAGATATAAAATAAAAAAATCAACAGAAAATGATAATGTAAAAGTTAATAATTATGGCAATTTATTACTCACATTAACAAGTCAAGTCAAGTCAATGAATTTGTATTGTAGTGCAGTATAATGCAACCATACAATAATAAAAAGATAAACAATTAAAAAAAAAAAATGAAATAATTAAAATAATTTTGAAGAGCCTGAATAACATAATATATAGCAACTATCCTAAGTATATGGACCTAAAGAGCTTTAATTATATGTATTACCGTTATGCACATAAAATGAACATGTGCTATTGCAAATATATTATTAGCTAATTTGAATATTCTACTCTTAGCGACACACGTCAAATGTCAATGAGTCTTGTGCAAGGCAATTGTCATCGACTCGGGGCAGAGGATCCCATTATCAATAATTCAATCTATTCATTAGTAGTCTACCGATGGTGAATGTTAATCCAGATGCAAGCAGTGTGTAAGCCAGTGTGATAACTGATTTACTGGGCTTTAGCAGGTTCTATAATGCCAGACTGTGTTTACTATATGTGGCAAAGACAAGCCAAACCAGTCACTCAGCCATTTTACTTTTATTAGCATCAAGGACTAACAACATTATTTCAAGTAAACAATGTTTGTACAAATTGATCAATAAATTATCTTTTTTTGTTGGTCTTGCTTAGATCTATTTCCAATGGGAATTTCAAAAAACTAAATCAAATCATTGATTGATTGACTGAACACTACAACAAAATTACATTACATTACTCTAAAGGAAATAAAACTGCTCACATTTATTGATAGTTACTGTCCAACTCTACATTTAAATTTAAATGTTCAATTGTAATTCTGAACAATTTTAGACATTTAAGTTCCATAAGTGCCAAACATCCTTGCATGAATAGACAGCCTAATAGATGACATTGCTAGCTAACTTATCGACAAAGTGAGAACGCAGATAAAACTCTAAAATTCTTCAAAATTAATGAATAAAATATTTACAATGCACTGTCTAGTGTTAATATTGACAGGCGTTAAACGCCTACTTAATTTTAAAAAATGTAAATGTTCAATGCTCTTTAATTGATATTTATTTTTATAGGCTTTGAAGGTATGTATTTATACTCAAATTACATTACAAGCATACATTGTACACAGGCCAAAAAAGCAGTAAGCCCTAATGCACACCTATTACAAATATAATATTCACTTATGTTCCAAGGCAACATTAAATATTGACAAAGTAAATGAGGGTGCAATTTATTTACCTTAGCTAATACCAGTAGGTATCACAACGGACATACACTACATAACCACAAAACTGATAACAGTGTACAGATTTCACAAATTGCACAGATTTTGTTTGATAAATTTTCGAAATAAAAAATTATCTTATGTCTATTATGTCAACGTATACGACTCTACTTTGTGCATTA